TACGTACGACCCATCATGCATGATACGTCGAAGTTCCAAGTGTCCGTGACACAAGACAGATAAGCCTCCAGTAGCGAGTACTTTCATGTTGACCAAAACCGGACAACTACCCCACCCTCTCCACAAAGTAACCTCAGAAGTCAGAGACTACTTGTCGGCAGCATGGCTCATGGTGGTTGGTGGGACCAGCCCTGGGACGAGACGTGGCAGGAGAGAAGTTCTGCTTCGTCTACATGGGGGCGGGGACAGGACTCCCAGTGGCGTGGTGGCTGGACCAGCCAGACAAATGAGGCTTCGGCTCCGGGTCCGGCTTCCGAGCGTGCCGGTAGAGATGAGGCTTCGGCTCCGGGTCCGGCTTCCGAGCGTGCCGATAGAGCCAAGGGCAGCAAGAGCGGCGCCTCGCCCAAGTTCAAGGCCAAAAGGGGCCAAGGGCGTGGCCGTGGAAAGAGCTCCGGCTCCAACAACCGTGGTCCTAGCCAGGACCAGAGGGAGTTCGAGAGATGGAAGGCGGACCACGCTCGCATGCTGGCCGCGGAAGAGGCACAACGCCGAGCAGAAGGCAGAGCTCTGGACTCAGGACATCACCAACGAGGAGCTTGTGGCCCAGAACCGTGTGCTGACTGAGCGGGTGGCAGACTTGCAGGGCAAGAGATCCGAGGCCGAGGACAGAGGCAAGAGACTGCTGCAGGACTGCAGTCGCCTCTTTCAGGAGAAGACCGACGTCCAGCTCCAGCTCGACAACGCGAGGAAGGTCTTCAAGAAAGAGTGTGTCGACATGCGCAAGGAGAACGACGAGGCAAAGGTGCAGGCGAAGACCGCCCGGGAGCAAACCGATGCCGTCAAGCGGGACTTCGAGAAGTTCAAGGCACGGGTGCTCCTTTGGAAAACGCCTCTTTATTTTTGTGCCTTGACTGAACAGGTATACATGGATGGCAAAGTGGAGCAGGCAGAGAAGAGGGCCAAGGAAGCGAAATCCGAGAAGGCCGGGTTCTCATCGTCACTTTCTCAAAGAGTTCAGCTTCGGCCAT